GTGGGGGGGAACCACAGGGGAGCCTGCTGGTGGGCTGGAAATGTTTTATATCTTAATCTGGGGGTAGGGAATTTACATGGATGTATACCTAAGTAAAAGGAAGTGAAGTGTACACGTCAGATTTATATTCTTTACCATATATAAGTTAGATCTTAATAAAAAAGAACATTAAATATTTATTTTAAAGAAATGACAGAAATGTAGCAAGGCTAATGCATCACATTTAAAATCATCAGAAAACCAGTGTACCATTCCTGAGTTTCACTTAAAAAAGTTTTAGGATTCTCCTCATTTGCAAAATTGGAATAGTAATATCTTACCAACCTCATACAGCAACTAAGAGAATTAGATAATGTATAAATATCTTTGCACTCCTGTAAGAGAAGTCCTATGTCAATATAAGGTAATATTTGTGGAGCATTCCAAGATACCATTTTCACGTAAGCAATCTCTTAGAAATAGTACTTCCATTCTTTTAAAATACAGTAACTAAAACCCATAAAGTAAATGAAAGAGGAACCTTGAGTTAGGCCAGCAACAAATTGATAAATTGATAATTCGTACTAAAGTAGAGTTGCCCATTCTTTCCATGACCCTTCTGATGGGCAATTATCATTCAACTGAAAAGTTAATGTTTATCCTAATGTTAAATCTTCCTGAAGGATTCTAGAATCTACCTAGGACAGGATACTCAATTCCAGAGACTCTCATCAAAGATTTATAAAGTTTCAAGCCCAATAGTACCATCCTGCTTATCTCCTTTTTGAGAGTTATTAATAAAACAAACAAGGTTGCAATCATCTCTCTTTATATATAAATAGCATGGTTCAAATCACATAGTTCCTCTAAATCAGAGCTGTCCAGTGTGGTAGCCACTAGCCATATCTGGCTACTGAGCACTTGCAATTTGGCTAATCTGAATTGATCTGTCCTCTAAGTATAATATACACACCATTTTCAAAATTTCATACAAAAAAGAACATAACATATCTTACTAATATTTTTATATTGATTACATGTCAAAACGATAACATTTTTTAATACACTGGGTTAAATAAGGTATATTACAATGAATTTAACTGGTTTACTTTTAGTTTTTTTAATGTGGCTAATAGAAAACTTTCAATTCTATATATGGCTTGCATTATATTTCTATTGGACACCAGAGAGCTAAATAAAGATGGAAATTTTCATAATGCTATTTCTCTCAAGGCAGAATTTTCAAGAGTTTTAAGAATTAGGGTGAAGATTGCTTAAATGTTTTCTGGCCAAATTACCTGTCTTTGTCAACAATTAAAATCTATGTTGAATCTTTATAATCAACTGAGTTTTAGAATGGTGTATGATATTTGCCCCCATGAAGTCACAGAATATTTAACCAGTTTTCCCTGAACTTTAATAATATGTAAACCTGTAGTTCTAAAACTTTTCAGGGCTTTATACTGCTGAGGCAAAGAAATGACCTTAATAGATCTCCAACATGAGTTTCCAGGATACCCCAACACAAAAGCTACATTCAATTCACCAAAAATGATACTGCTATGAGCTAAATTGTGTTCTCCCAAATTCATATGTTGAAGCTCTAACCCCCAATATGATGGTATTTAGAGGTGGGGGTTTGGGGAGGTAATTAGATGTAGATGAGGTCATGAGGATGCGGTGCCGATGATGGGATTAGTGTCCTTAAAGAAGAGGAAAAGATCAGAACTCTCTTTCTCTCTGTGATGTGAGGACACTGTGAAAAGGGAGACATCTACAAACCAGAAAGAGAGCTCTCACCAGGAACTGGGCCTGCCAGACCTTCATCTGGGACTTCTAGTCTTCAGAACTGGGAGAAAATAAATTTCAATTGTTTAAACCACCCAGTCTACTGTATTTTGTTATGGCAGCTCAAGCAACAAATACAGACACCCACTGCTTAAAGCAATCTCTTTTTTATTAAATACCATAATTAATCTTTACCTAAGGCTATTTATGAATACATACTTTTTGTTATATAAAGACATAGTGAGGGGCGCCTGGGTGGCTCAGTCAGTTAAGCGTCTGCCTTTGGCTCAGGTCATGATCCCAGGACCCTGGGATCAAGCCCCGCATTGGGCTCTCTGCTCAGCGGGGAGCCTGCTTCTCCCTCTCCCTCTGCTGCTCCCACTGCTTGTGTGCTCGCTCGCTCTCTCTCTGTCAAATAAATAAAATCTTTAAAAAAAGATGTTTACACATATGAAAAATACAAAAATAAAGACATAGTGATTTGTGCAATGTGAAAAATAAAAAATATTTGTTGATTTTCTCTATGTGTTAATAGGACAGGTCTGACCTATGGCCTCTGTAGACCAACTCACTCACAGACCATCTACGTTTGAGCCAGGTAAAAGGGTTGAGGAAAATTATTATTATCATAAAAACATTGTTACTTCAAAATATTTCATTCTTTATTATATAAAAAATATTTTCTTCAGTATGTGGAACTCCTATTTCTATTCTAACTGAAAATGCAAAGTTGTTCATCTCTCCCCTAGGGATTTGCCTCTTGGTGTGACGCTTTCAATGATTTCACCAGAGTTTAAGCATAATAAAATCTCATTTTATGCTCCAAGGCAGGAAGGATCCTAAATGTTCCTCAACCAGTATAGTGCATAACCTTGTGGCTTTGGGGATAGCGTTTAAGTAAACGTCACAAAAAAGAAAGGGTTCCAGACTAGGGAATAAAATAGTATGCTTGTTTCTTTAGAAACGTTCAAGACATCATCAGATGTTTACTGCCTGGTTTTAAAGAAAGAAAGGGGGAGGGATGGAAGAGAACGAAATAACATAGTGGATTTAATCCCTTTTTATCACTTTAGTCTCTTTTGCCATTTAGAGCTCCAAGGGGTCTAAGTGACTCCAAGAAAACAATACAAAATTTTGTGTGTCCTACACATATTTTCTGGGCAAGTGACCCTGAGCTTTGAGCATAATCTCCAAGGAAACAGTGACCCAAAAAAGGTTAAGACCCTCTTGGTTAAGGTTTGCTTAAGGGAAGTGAACGGACATTTCTCCTCACACCTGGCCAGGTATAACCAGCCTCCTCACTTGCCGCCTACCCCCTAAGACCTCAGAAAGCATACCAGGTCCTGTTTCCACTATTTGATTACCTTGTTCCTCGGTTTTGTTTACTGGTGTGTGTATGCTAGCTGCCTCCAACTTCCCCCTTCCTAAATTGTCCTATTCTGTGTATCACAGGGAAACAGAGTGGCTCTCTCCTCCTCTGAGGGTGACCCGTGGTAAAATGTATCACATTTACCAACATACCCTTTTCCCTTATTCCTCACCACTCTTTTGGGGGCCACCTGAGTTTGCTACCGTGCTGAATGGGTTGTCCACCTCTTTACTCTCTTTGTATTTAGGTCTAGGAACGGTCAGTTTGGTGAGGTACTTTTAAGCATGTCCGATTATAGTCCTGTACTGCCATTCCCAGGTGGTGTAAAATTCTCTTCCATTCCCACCCTAAAGAGGTTGCGAGAAGGAAACAGCGTGCTCCTAGCTCCCCAGAGAAGAACATTATATAAAAGTAATAAAAGCATTCTGTTGCTGTCAATTATTTTGGCACTATTACACCAAGTGGCAGAGTCCCCCGCACCTGCCTTGGCCATGTCTTCCCTAAGAGTCAGCAGAACTATCTTCGAGCACCCATTGACGCGGGACCCCTCACTCCTTCCACCCTCTCCAGGCCCCACATTCGAAGTTGTCTCCTTGAGTATAACTCCAGGTCTTCCTACAACCCTCTTTGTATCGAGGTAAAGAATTGAAGCTCACTCTTTTCTATACTCTTCTCACCAGTAAATTCTCAAATCTCTTAGTTTCCTTGCAGAGCGCAGAGGGGTAAGTTGTGTGTGTGTGTGTGTGTGTCCTAAAACTTGCATAGGGGTAAGTTGTGTGTGTGTGTGTGTCCTAAAACTTGCATAGGGGTAAGTTGTGTGTGTGTGTGTGTGTGTGTGTGTTTCCTAAAACTTGCATAGGGGTAAGTTGTGTGTGTGTGTGTGTGTGTCCTAAAACTTGCATAGGGGTAAGTTGTGTGTGTGTGTGTGTGTGTGTGTGTTTCCTAAAACTTGCATAGGGGTAAGTTGTGTGTGTGTGTGTGTGTTTCCTAAAACTTGCATAAGCCCGTGAGTGTGGCCCTCCGACATCCTGGATCTCAAGGCAAGGAGTGGGCTGGCCGGGGGATCCCCGACACCCAACACTACGTATAACAAGCTCGGCCCCGGGGAGCGGCGGCGACAGGCTGGCGAGCTCGGGGCGGAGAGCCGGGCCCCGAGCAGCAGCGCCCCGACCCCCAGACCCCCGCGTCCGGCCGGGCCCGCAGTCCCCGCGGGAAGGCCGGCTGGCCCGGCCGAGGGCGCT